GTTTTCATTTGTCTTCTCCCAGTTTTAGTACTACTTTCATGTAACTTTAAATCAGGGTCCTGTCAGGCACTAGTGGCTCACACCTGTGAGCTACTCAGGAGCCTGAGATCTGAGGATCACAATTCAAAGTCAGCCTCTTCAGAAAAGTCCACAAGTCTCTTATCTTCAACTATTCACCAAAAAGTTGAAAGTGAAACAGTGGCTCAAGTGGTAGAGCACTGGCCTTGAGCAACAAACCTCAAGGACAATAATCAGGCCCTGAGTTTAAGCCCCAGGACCAGTGTGTGCACACACGCACAAAATCCAGAAGTGTAGCTATGGCTTGTAGTAGTGTTAGCCTTGAGCAAAAAGCCAAGCAAGAGCTTGAGGCCCTATGTTCAAGTCTGATTACAGGGCAAAATAAAATATAATAGGCTCCTAAATGAAGTTTCTCATCTGTAAAACAAGAATAATACTGAGCCTAATTACTTCAGAATGTCACATTTGAAACTAAATATATATATATATATATATAATTTGAAATAAATATAAAATTAAATATTTTATATTTATATATTTATATGAATCACTAGTATTTTGAAATGGCACGTGAAGAATTCCTATTAGTATAAGCAATTGGCTTGCAGTTTTGCATACTTTTTATGAATCCACTGAAATTAAGAGCTCAAATTCCAAAAGAGTTATTTCCATTATTACTGGATTATCTTCTAGCTTTTTGTTGTACCTGGCTTTTTTTCTAATTTTTTTTTTGGCAGTGATAGGGCTTGAACTCAGGGCCTGAGCACTCTCCCTGAGCTCTTTTGCTCAGAGCTAGTGCTCTACCACTTTGAGCCACAGCTCCACTTCCAGTTCTTTAGTGTTTAATTGGAGATAAAAGTGTCATGGAGACTTTTCTGCCTGAGCTGTCTTTGAACCATAATCCTTAGATCTCAGCCTTCTGAGTAGCTATGATTACAGGCATGAGCCACCAGTGCCCAACTTTGCCTGGCTTTCTATTAGGTACAAGTATGAGACAGGAGAGCTAAATTCAAAATGGTCAAGTCTGCTGTTTGTATCAGTGGTGAAGACATTATCTTTTGGCTTTCAAAGACCAGTGTAATGGAAACTTTCAAGACCTTCCTTCACTCATTTTCCTTTACGTCTATTCTAGTACCTAGCAAAATTCCTGGCCAAGAGAAATGTCTCCATCAGTATTTGGTTATCTGAATTATTTCAGGAATCTTTAGGTATGGAAAGTAGATTTGGAGTGAAAAGACTAGGCTTCCCATTTTGTTCTATTCCTTTCTGTATGTGTGGTCATAAACAAATTCTTTCATAATTTAGCCCTTTATAGGGCACTGGTACTGGGGCTTTAAATTGGTGCCTTGCACTTTGCTTGGCTTTTTTGCTCAAAGCTGGCAATCTACCACTTGAGCCACACCTTTACTTCTCGCTCTTTGCTGGTTAATTGGAAATAAGATTTATCTGTCTGGGCTGGCGTTGAACCATGATTTTCAGATCTCAACCTGTTGAGTAGCTAGGATTACAGGCGTGAGCCACTGATAGCTGACACAAATCCTTGTAAAAAAATAAATAAAGGAATTACACAACTTTTTTTGTAAATAGGATTGGCACTCAAGCTTATATTTTTTATTTTTCAAATTATTTAAACATTTTTCTTTAAGTAAGTAGACAAAGGAGTTGTCATTCAACATAGCGGTTGATGAATACAGTGCCTCTTGATCAATGTCACCCAGCCCTCCCAACCCACCCTTTTCCTCATTTAAACTTTAGTTTTTGTATTGATTTTTTTGCCATATAACAAAACAATTTGTGTCTAGCATGCAGGAAGAGTGTACTTTCCATGTAAGTGTATGATGTAGGAATTTGAATTACAATAGCAAAGTGTAAGCCTGTTTGAACTTGAAATCTGAATGTTGAGGCAATGCTGGCAAACCCAGACCTGACAAATGCAAGTCTTCCACCACAGAGCTGCAGCCCAAGCTGAAATTCATTTTTGCCTTTCCCTCCTTCAGATTGCTGTCACATATAGTATTGCTTGAATTTGGAAGACCTAAGGCCAGGGACTCCAGTGGAGAAAGAGAATTCAAACTAATTTGAATTAGGAAGAAACTTAGGGTCCAGAATTCCTGGGTAAGTTTGCTCTGGCTTGATACTTAAGTTCATTGTTGGAAAGCTTTCTAGTCTGTTAGGTAACACCTGAAGCCCTTTACTGGATGTTTAAATAAGAGAATATGCCAGGCATCGGTGATTCACACTTGTAATCCTAGCTACTCAGGAGGCTGAAATCTGAGGATCACAATTCAAATCCAGCCTGGGCAGGGAAGTCTGTGAGAGTCTTATCTCCAAATTAACCCCCAGAATACTGGAAGTGGTGTTGTGGCTCAAAGTGGTAGAGTGCTAGTCTTGAACAAATCAGCTCAGGGACAGTGCCTAGGCCCTGAGTTCAAGCTCCATGACTGACAAAAATAAACAAATGAGAAAATGTATATGAAAATATTTGTAAATTATAAAGCACCAAACATTAGGTGCTATATAAATAATCACTAGTGAGTTCTGTCCTTATACAGCTTTATATAAGCTACCTAAATAGAGCTACAAATGTTTATTGATTAATATAGGCAAGCATGTACATAAGAGCTTACTATGAGGATATAAACAGAGGACATACTGGCAATTGTACTATTCTAATTCATATTCTGTGACATTAAGAATAAGGTTATGTGTTTGATGCAACACCTGACACCTGAACCTAGGATGTCTTACAATACCATTTAAAATTCATTACCGCTTTTAAATTACTGCTAATGAAACTCCACATTTCAGTATTTTCCCTGAGAGTATTCACTGCCAAAGTAGCCATTCAGTTGTTCCTGCCCACTTCAAGCTAGCAGATGCAGCTTTTAAATCCAGGGACCCTTTGGTTTGTATTATGTGCTAGGTGAAAGGATATACAGGCTTTCAAAAGTAAATGGGAGTACAATTCTATGTGGCAATTTTGATCATCCAATCACATTTAAACTCTCCACAATTACAGCTAATAGTGTATAAACCAGGAGAGTGAAGAACAAAAGGAAAAATATCACTAAAGCCAATAGCAAAACAACAAATGAGCAAACCAACAATATAAAAAATACAAAAAAGAGTAAGACAAAGTTTCAGTTCTTGTCAAAGGCCTGAAATGTTCATATCATTGGTTATTCATATTTTCTAAATCTCTGCATGTGTTGGTCTTCTTATATAGAAGAAAAAAAATTAAGAAATAGTTTTTTGAAAGGCCAATTAGAATGTCAAAATTCATATAGTTAATCCATCTCACTTTATAGGTAGCAAGATCAAGTCTGGAGAAGGAAAAGGGCTTGTCAAATGTTGGACTATAATTTTTGGCAGAAATTAGCAAATCTCTAACTTTCTGGTTGTAACATTTTGAACAGGCAGCCAAGCATCATGGATCACAACTATGATTTCTACTAGTTGAGAGGCAGAAATCAAAGTATCAAAGTTCAAGTCCAGACTGGGCAAAAAATAAGGTTGTGGTGCTACAAGTATGTCATCACAGCTAGTGAGCCATACAAGGAGGAGCTTCATGGCTGAAAACAAGATTCTATCTCAAAAACATGCAAAGCTGCAATTGGAGGCATGGCTTAGGTGGCAGAGTGCCAACTGTGATAGGAAACAGCTGGGTGAGAGTGAGAGACTGAGTTTAAGCCTCAGTAATGGCACAAGTAAAATGATTTTTAAATTAAAAATAGTCCAAAGCAATATGGCCTGGGGTTATGGCTCAAGTGGTATAGTAGCAAGCACAGGCTCTGAATTCAAACCCCATTGGTGCCAACAAAACACTCCAAAACAACAGAAAAGCTGTAAGTTACTATTTCTCGCGAGTACCATTTGAAAAATCAGAATCGGAGTTACTAGTTAAAAAACAAAGACTTCCAAATATTCTTGGGATCTATGTCAGGTCTACTGAATCAGACTATCAAACTATCTTTTTTTGTATCCCATTATGTAGCACAGGCTGGACTCAGGACTCATGGCCCTCCTGCTTCAGCCTCTTTTTTTTTTTTTAACCAGTCCTGAGGCTTGAACTCAGGGCCTAGACACTGAGCTTCTTTTGCTCAAGGCTAGCACTCTACCACTTGAGCCAAAGCACCACTTCAGGCTCTTTCAGTGCATGTGGTACTGAGGAATCGAACTCAGCGCTTCATGCATGGTTAGGCAGGAACTCTACCACTAAGCCACACTCCCAGCCCTGCTTCAGCCTCTTAAATACTGGGATCATTGGCATGAACTTGCATGCTAGGCCAATAACATGGATTTTTTTTTTTATCTGCTTTGCAGTTTTGGTACAGGCCAGGGTCTGAAAAGTACAGTCCTAGATCTTTCCTCAGACGTTTGTGGTAAGTCCACAAATTAAATGAATCCATTAAAATGAATAATTATCGTGAATCTGAAAGCTGCCAGAATCCTCAAGGTAACCTGTACCCTATAGAGCCCAACTAATCCCAAAGGCAAGAAAGACTTGAGAGGCCAAGCACTTTTGTGAATCTGCCGCTTGTGGAGTCTAGTAGAGGGGGGACAGGCTCTTAGCCTGCCTGCTGGGCCTTTTCACTTCCTCCTCTGCTTACACAGACAAGCTGTTTTGAAAATGCTGTTAATAAAGTATCATTTCCCTTCCAAGGCACCCTCTTTCAAAACATAGGCCTTGGGCTTGTAATCCTCCCCCAGCTTTTCCAGGCTGAACCCAGAGTTCTGCATGCAAAATCCCAGGAGATCTCAGCAACCTAGCAACTCTAACTGAGCTGAATCCTGCCTGGCACCTCTGACTTAGCCTATAGTGCCAGGCCACGTGGAAGAATCCCTGCAGCCAAAGTAACTAAAGAGTTAAGGAGCAGCTTGCTGGTAAATGGCAGAGACACCAACCAATAGGGTTTCTAAGCAGGCTGAGCGTCTGCTGTGGGCGGGCGTGGGACAAAGCTTGCAAAAAGAAGCCCTTGGCGGCCTAAGGGTGAGAGGGCAGACAGGGTTAGGGATTTTGGGGAGGTCAGAGGCCAGCGGAAAAGCTCGTGAGCATCGGGGGGTACCCTTCTCCTCCTTCCCTCTTTTACCCTAAAGGTTTTGTAGCAGCGGGGACAGTCCCGGCCCGGTGTATGGCCACAGAGTTCCAGTGTCAGGATTCCATGCCTTGTCACAATCAGCAAGTAAACTCCGCTTCTACCCCAAGTCCCGAGCCATCGTTGAGATCTGGCGACCCAATTGGGGATCGTGCTGAGGGCACTAGTAGCGTTATGGCGAAGCTGACTCTACTGGCCCGGCACGCCCATCCTAATGTGCTGGCCGACGACTCTCAGGCCTGTGGCAGCAGCAGCGTCAACCTTCACGCGGAGAGCAACAGTGACAGTGGTGACAGTAACAACTATGACGCACCTGCGGGTGACTCCTTCCTAGGAGAATGTGAACTCTCGGGACAGATCGGGACTCAGCTTAAGCTGCTTCCCATGAATGATCAGATCCGAGAACTGCAGACCATCATCCGGGACAAGTAAGCGAGGGAGGGAGCAAGCGAGCGGAAGGGGAAAGGGAGGGGTGGGCTTGGGGAGGGGGAGTGTGCGAGGGGTGGGCGGGGACTGGAAGTAAAGGTGCCCAAGAGGACTCTTGGATCTTGATAACCCGGCCTTTCTTAGGGCCCTGTGCAAGAGGAGAGTGTAGGGACACACGCCTTCAGCCCTTCTCCTACCAAGTTCCGTATTCCATGTGGCTTTGTGAAGGGCTGAAACCTTTTGGTAGTCTGCACTCTCTTCCGGCCTCTTTGTCTCTCTGAGGGATGACGACTATCCAGCCTTTCCTGCCCAGGTGCACCCTGTCTGCCCAAAGCCTGACCACGTGATAAATGTGTAACCCAGCAATGCTTTTGCAAGGCTCCCAAATCCCCCAGTCCTAGGGGAATAAAGCAAGTTCAAGAAAATCCCATTGGGCTACACTGCCCGTCTGATCCTTTGCTATTTTTCTACAACTCATATGGCATATTGTTTTAGAATTCGTTGTTCAGGTTGAACAGGTCACCTGAAAGCTTATCACCCAACTCTTAGTAGAATTGTTATGGTAAATTTATTGTCGGTACTCCACAAAGCAAAAACAGCCCTATAGGAGCCTAGAGTTCCTGCTCATCTTACAAACAAGGATAGCCAGAACTTCATGTTAAAGTACTACTTGCTACTTTTGGATTTTTCAAGCTATGGTGTACATGTGTTTTCTCAAGGGAAATATATACTGCAACACATTATAGCCAATTCCTTTACTGTTGGCAGATTTGTTTCTCTCTTTTCTTGTCCTTCCTTTTTTCTCTTTTCTTCTGTTCTTTCTTTCAATGGTTGTCTTCCTATATTGCCCAGGCTGGCCTCAGATTTCTGAGTTCAAGCCATCTTAACTCAGTCCTCCAAAACTTGGGAGTATAGCTGCAGTGGACCACACGTGGCTCTTACTGGCAGCTTTAAATGAGTAGCTTCAGCATGTTACAATACACTTTTTCAGTGCTGGGACATGCCTTGATAGTTTCAACATGGCTACTGCACGATACCACTGTATGATACCACTCCCTAAGTCAGGCTCCAGTCATTTTTCCTTATACTATATCATAGGCTCCTAATTGGTTTCTTTGCCACAGTTTATCTCTCTTCCTCATTGTCAGCACATATTGCTATCTAATCCACTGTCTTACCATACAGCCTTTTGATTTGATTTCTGCCCTACTCAGCCTTCCTGACTTCTTAGAATCTACTGAGTAAAGTCCAGATTACTTGTGTTTGAATCTTATCTTACCGATTAGGTGTGTTTTTTTTTTAATGTGGGTGTGTCTTAGGGCTTGAACTGAAGGCCTTGCACATTTTAGGCAAGGATTCTACCACTTGAGCCATGCTCCACAGTTCTATTTGGTTTCTTGTAGTTATTTTTCAGGTAGAGTTTTGTGCTTTTGCCTGTGGCCACCCTTGGTACACTGTCCTCGTACTTCTGCTTCCTGTGCAGTTGGGATCACACATAAAGTAAAGTCCAGCTTCTTCTTCTTTTTAATAAAGATAGGGTCTTTTGGCCTAGGCTGGTCCAGTACCACAGTCCCTCTATCTCCTCCTCCCAAGTATCTGTGATTGCCTAAAAGTTTATAAGCTCCATTAGGGCAGAAATTATTTTACAATTTTGAGTTCCAAATATGCCTTTCCAGAAAAGATTCTCTCCCTCTCTCCTTCTCTCCCTCCCTCTCTCCCTCCATCTCTCTCTCTCTCTCCTTTCTCTCTGTTGGTACTGGGGTTTAAACTGAGGGTCTCAAGCTCACTTAGCTTACTTGCTTGACTGATGCTCTACCACTTGAGCCATGCCTCTAGCCTTGCTTTTTTTTCTGATTACTTGGAGATGGAATCTCACAGACTTTTCTGTATAGGCTGATCATCTTGAAACCATCGACCTCAGCCTTTTGAGTAGCTAGCATTATAGGTGTAAGCCCCTAGTACTTGTCTCTAGCTTTGTGTGTGTGTGTGTGTGAGAGAGAGAGACAGAGAGACAGAGACAGAGATAATTGGTCTTGATGTTTGTCTCAGATCCTGAGAGCTGGGATTACACAGGTGCACCTTTATACCTGGATTTAGTTCTTAAAATTTTGTTTATGACTTTACACCATTTGACTTGTTTGTAAGTAATCAAATATGGAAAGCTTCTGTGATCTAATGATCTAACTAGATCATGTGACCTAATGAAGTGGTAATCTTAAAAAACATGAGCCATAGGCTTGGTAATTATGCAGGCAGCTGAAATAAAACATTATGACAAATAGAAGATGATGAATCTTGTATCTGTAAAGCAGGAGTAACTACCTTTGGGTTTTAGACGTGCAGATGGGTTTCAAGGCCGAGAAATTATCTGGAAATTTCTATTTCTTCATTTTAAATTGTTTTCAAGACAACATCTTTATTGAAGAGCCAAGGCTCAGTGGTAGCTTGCCTGGTGTCCACAAGACTTTGGGTTTAATTCCTAGCACTGCAAATAGGACATCTTTATTGAGCTGTAATTCATAGATCATACAATGCAAGCATTTAAAGCTAATATTTTAGTGGTTTTGAGCATTTTCATGGATGTTTATCACCTGAACATTTGACACATGCTGTTACTTCCCATTTTCCTCTAGCATCCTCACCTAGTCCTAAATGATCACTAATTTATTTCCTCCTGAGTTACCTATTCCAGACATTTCATTTTAAATTTACTTTTAACTGATAGATAAAAGCAAAAATCATACATATTAATATGAGCACTGTGTAATGTTCAATACATATAAACGTTGCATAGCTTAAATCGGATTGCACATAATTATATCTTCAGACATTTATTGTTCTTTTGTTGTTGCTGTTGTTGTTACTGTTTTTGGCTAGTACTGGTACACTGAGCCTCATACTCTCAGTCTGGTTTTTCCACTTATAGTTACCACTTGAGCCATACCTCCAGTTCTAGCTCTCTGTGTGTGTGTGTGTGTGTGTGTGTGTTTTCACTCTCTATCACTTAGTGCCACAACTCCAGTTTTGGCTTTTTGCTGGTTAATTGGAGATAAGAGTCCCTAGATTTGTCTTCCCCTGGCTGGCTTTGAACCTTGATCCTCAGATCTCAGCTTCCTGAGGTTTTAAAGGTCCAGCAACAAAATCATTGATCATTCCTTTATAGTAAAAAACAAAAACTTTATATATCCTTTATTCTTTGGGGGGGGTGTTGGTTGTAGGGCTTGAACTCTGGGACTTGGTGCTGCCCCTAAGCTCTTCAGCTCAAGGGGAGCACTCTACCACTTGAGCCACAGCACCATTCCTGGTTTTCTGGTGGTTAATTGGAGCTAAGAGTCTCACAGACTTTCCTGCCCAGGCTGGCTTTGAACCACGATCCTCACATCTCAGACTACTGAGGAGCTAGGATTATAGGTGTGAGCCACCAGCACCTGGTTTATTCTAACTTTTGGAAATAGACAATATATTATTGTTATCTATGCAATAGCATACCAGAGCTTTGATCAACCTTTCCTCATCCTTCTCTCAATATTACTGTCCCCAGCTGCTGATAATGTCCATTTTACTGTCAACTTTTGTGGGATTTAAAAAAATTATACATTAAGTGTGAAATCATATGGTACTCTCTATTCTGGATATTTCAAATAAAAAGGAACATGCAATATGTGACCTTGTATAAGTAGATTTTTTTAGCATAATGTTTTCTGAGTTCAATCATGTTATATTAGTGCACTATTCATTTTTATGGTTTATACTTTACTGCATGGATATCCTGTAATTTGTTGATGGACAATGTTGATGAACATTTTGGTGGTATCCACCCACTCTGGCCATTGTGGATAATGCTGTTAATAAACATTTGTTTCTGGACCTTTTTTGGAAATAAGGATCCTTCTATCAGATTTCACAAAGGTCCATAATAAAGATAAGAACCATTACTATAGTGCTTAGAGAAAATACGACAGTTAGCATTTACATATGACAATATTTGTACATACATGGTTATACTTTATTACTCAGAAAAATCTGAGTTATATAGCAGACCCGAGTATGAGTGGAATCTCTTTATTCTGAGTTGGGAGCACATACTAGGAGCCAGAGGAATGATCTTGTGCAAGATGTTTAACATCTGCTTCAACTTCTATCATTTGTAAAATAAAGATGCTGGTACTACCTCACGGAGCTCCTGGAAGGCTAAAAAACACTATTATACATATTAATACTTTCTATTAGTTGGCATTAGTGACTCATGCCTGTAATTCTAGCTACTCAGGAGGTTGAGATCTGAGGATCAAGGTTCAAAGCCAGCCCAGCCAAGAAAGTCTGTGAGATTCTCATCTCATCAAAAAGCCAGAAGTGGAGCTGTGGATTAAGTGGTAGTGCTAACTTGAGCACAAAAGTTCAGGGACAGTAGGGATAGTGCCCAGGTTCTGAGTTCAAGCCCCAGGACCAGCACGCATACTTCTCTCTGTTTCTCTCTCTGTTTCTCTCTCTCTCTTTGTCTCTCTCTCTCTCTCTCTCTCTCTCTTTCTCACACACACACACACACATACACACACACACACATACACACACACACACACACTACTATTAGCTTTTGTTGTAAACTATGAAGAGCTGTTTCTATTTAAGGCATTTCAGGTCTTCCGGTTTGTCTTTGGACATGTTTCTTATTAAACATAATAAAGTGAATTTACCTTCAAATTCACATTCTTATTGTGAAAATAAATACTGAGAACCTAATTTTCATCCTGCTTTGCCACAGTATAGAAAGACCTGTTGATAATGAGTTGATGTGTATTTAGGTTGAGGACAATGGTTTTAGTTTTTTATTTTGTTATTGCTAGCCAAATCTGTCCACAAAGGCTTTCTCTTTTCTTTTTCTTGACAAACGAGTTGTCATGCCTTTACACAAAAAAAGACCTGTTTCTGCCTCTGTAGGAGGACAATAGGGGCACCTGTGGAACAAGGAGCTGTGTTTCTGTAGGTCTACTTATCACACCCT